AAGAAAAAAGAGAAGGAAGGGGGAACTTACTTGACTCGGAGGGCTGGATAGCGAAAGAGAAGGAACTTGACCGGTGAAAGCTCTGGAAGGCGAAGTGCGAAAAGTAAGAAGAGAAGGGGGTTGGAGGCCTTTATATAGGAGGGAGGAAGCCGAATCAAACGACGTGGCCACTCGAGGGCGCGCCGCGTCAGGCGGCGCAATGATGGCGCGTGGGAAGACGAACGGACGGGCTGACAGCGGTTCAGAATGGATAGCTGAGGCGCGACACGTGTCCGGATTCAAATTTTGAAATTCAAATTTGGAAATCCTTGGGCGGGAAAAGCTGAAATTCGAAATTAGAAGTCCTGTTTCAGATTTTTACTTCCCGCTTATGACAAAATTGCATAACCGAGAAGTGGAGGGCTTATTGATGTGTGTATTCCACCCACGACCGGTCAAAGAAGAAGACCAATTAGTTGAGCGGTCAATCTCGAAAGTTTTGGAAGGGAGACTTAAATCGTCAGCAAAACGATATATAATCGGCCAAAAGATGACCGGTATACTTCACGAAAAAGTATACCGGTCAAACTACGTTGTCATCCTATTTATTCTCAGACTTCGATGAGCACATTCCTTGGAGATTACCCGGTTAAGTTTCTAGGGTTGGAAAGTGTCGGCAGAAGAGAATCTACGAGGGCTTGGCGTGTAGCGACCCGTGTCAGTAGAGGACAACTGGAGATGCCGAAGAATCCATCCAAGGCACTACTCGACAAAGGGAATAATCCCCCTCACAAGGCGACAAGGCAGCTCAAGGACGAAACCAGTCACCTCGCACCACATCAGCATCGTGCCCCCACGTGGGCACACGTGGTCTTGTCCCCCTTAGCCTAGTATAAATACTCGTGTAAACCTCAGGAAGAGGGATCCGAATTCATTCTCTCTACTCCCTTGTAAAAGCACCCGTGCAATCTCCGTTATAATATAAATTGGGCTACAGGTGTTCCACTTAAAGTCCTACCGGTCAATCTGCGTGTTTTTACCTCTCTTACTTTGCCAAATCTAGCGAACTATTATAGACCCGGTCTAGTATAGTTTGATCGGTCAAGTAATTTACACCATCATTTTTGGCTCCGACCGTGGGACAGTTAAGGTTTCTTCTCTTCCAGACACAAACCTACCCACAAAAACACCACTCGAGATGTCTTCCAGCCAACAGATCAACGCTACTTCCGCTCAGGTGCAAGCCACCAATGAGGGTACCAGCATCCCTATGGCTGCTACCATACCGGTCATTCCAGCCCCGGTGTTGCCTTTGGGTCTGAGCTCTGTCCCGACGGCCAGCGTGATCAGTCCCTTCGCAACCCCCGTCCCTTCCGCTGGACTGAGGGTCACGTTCCCACCAAGCATGACTCAGTTCATGAATGACCCAGCCAACCTACAAGCCATCTAGGGCTTCGGTCAGGTCATGGCCATGTGCCAACAGAGCGGGGGGATGCCTTTTCTCCCTGGTATTTTCCCGTTCGCTCTTCTAGGCGCGGGAACCATGCCCCTACAAGCTCCGATGGAGGTGACGTCGTTCCAGACGCCGGTGCCGCAGCCATCACCTTTCCAGACCCAGCTGGTCAACACCATGGCCCCTGTCAACTTGGCCGGCGCACTTAACGCTGCAGGGCCGTCGCGTCCCCCGCAAGGTATGAATCCGCAAGTCACCCCTGATGGTCATTGCGTCTCAATTGAGAGTGATGAAGGCGAGTGGGACGTTCCAAGGGCCCACAAGAAGAAGAAAGGAAAAAACATCCGGCCAGCGACCTCCCGAAACTCCGCCTTCGAAAGGCTGGGGGATAGGGAGGAAGCCTAGAGGAAGTCAGCCAAGCAAAGGCTGGGGCAGAGCGTTGCCCATGTCAGCGCGTTCGCCCGGCTAGGCGAGGTGCGGGAGGCCGAGCCTGCCCGCACCCGGCGCTACCGGTCTAACCGGCAAGAGCCAGCTAGGACGAGGGCCTCTCGTCAAGAAGAGGAGGCAGAGAGCCAGCCCAGGTTACCGGTGGCGAACCGGTTGACCATCCCAAATGACCGCGTCCAGCAGATGGAGGCAAAATTGGAAAGGCTGGAAAAGAAGGTCGGGGAGAAGAATGACCGGGACAAACCCTTGGCGGGGTCCCCGTTCACCACAAGGGTCCATCTGACACCTTTCCCGCGAAAGGTCAAGATTGACGCCCCTAGGTTCACCGGGAAGGAAGATCCGGAAATCCATCTGGATTCCTTCAACCAGAGTGCGACCATGAACGGTTGCACCGATGAAGAAAAGTGCCTTCTTTTCTTCCAGACCTTGCGGAACCGAGCCACTGAATGGTTCAATAAGCTTCGCCCGGGAAGCATTGATTCGTTCAGTGATTTGGCCTCAAAATTCAAGGCCAAGTTCCAGGAGAATTGTACTAAGAGGAAGAAATTCACCTATCTTAGTACAGCCGGGCAGAGGGAGTCTGAGAACCTTACTCAGTTCCTTACCCGGTGGAAGGAAGAGGTAGACAAGGTGGAAGAGATGGATGACAAGACCGTC